CAAAGCTTTAGTTCACCCATGTATGACATTAATCACCATCATTTCTTTCTTTTTTTAGTTGAAGTATTGTTGACTTACAATATTCTGTTAGTTTCAGATATACAGCAAGGTGATTAAGTCATATATATTTTTCAGATTATTTTCCATTATAGATGATCACAGTTCAGTTCAGTTCAGTTCAGTCACTCAGTCGTGTCCGACTCTTTGTGACCCCATGAACCGCAGCATGCCAGGCCTCCCTGTTCATCACCAACTCCCGAGACCACCCAAACCCATGTCCATTGTGTTGGTGATGCCATCCAACCATCTCTTCCTCCGTCCAAGATCCTGAATATTTTTCCCTGTGTTACACAGTAAATCCTTATTGATGATCTATTTTATGTATAGTATATTTCTGTTAATTCTATGCTTCTAATTTATTCTTCCACCCATTTATCCCTCCTCTTCCCCCCTCCCCTTAGGTAACCACAAGATTGTTTTCTATGCCTGTTTGTTTCTGTTTTGTATATAGATTCCACATTGTTAGATTCCACATATATGTGATATCATATAATTATTGTCTTTCTCTGTCTGACTTACTTCACTTAGTATGATATTCTCTAGGCCCACCCATGTTGCTGCAAATGACAACATTTCATTCTTTTTTATGGCTAATATCTCATTATATATCTATATTACATATATCTCACACCTTCTTAAATCAATCATCTGTTGATACTTGGGTTGTTTCCATGTCTCAGCTGTTGTAAATAGTGCTGCTATGAACCTTGGGGTGCATAAATCTTTTTGAATTAAGAGTTTTTGGCTTTTCTGGATATATGCCCAGGAGTAGGATTGCTGGATCATATGGTAACTCTATTTTTAGCTCTTTTAAGGAACCTCCATACTGTTCTTCATAGTGGCTGCACCAACTTATATCCCCACTAACAGTCTATGTGGATTTCCTTTTCACCACACCCTCCCTAGCATTTATTATTTATAGACTTTTTGATGATGGAGAAATGACTTATTCTTAAGCCTGAAATATTTCGTTGTGCCAGAAAATGAGAAAGTGCTCAAAGAATGATGCAGACATAGGAGATGCAGTTTTGATTCCTGGGTTGGGAAGATATCCTGGAAGAGGAACTGGGAATTCTTGCTGGGACTATCCCATGGACAGAGGCACCTAATGGACTTGCAAAGAGTCGGACATGACTGACAACACACACACACACACACACACACACACACACACATACACAGACAGACACACACACACACATTAGAAACACAGGAGCCAGCTCAAAGGGGCTCCTACTGACCCAATCTTGGGCAATTTGAGCACTAAAATAAATAATGATAGCAAAGCACTACTAATACAATTCACTTGGATCAAATGAATCTATGAGTCTTGCAGACAGAACAAACACCCTATGGTAGAAAGAAAACTAATAAATGTATGTGGAAATAGAACTAGAAGATTAGCATTTGTCAACTATCATTCTAATGCCTGAATCCTATTATTCCTCCCAAAAATGTTTAAACTGAATCTAACCAGGAGGAAACAAAGACAACTCAAATTGAAGGACCAAATAACTGACTAGTAATCTTCAAGATGTCATCTTCATGACAGAGAAAGAGAGGAGCCATTCCAGACTGAAGGAAATCAAACAGAGAAGGTAACCGAGTGGAATACCTAAACACACTCCATTATTGGGACATTTGGTGAAATCTGAGTAAGTTATGTCAATTTGATAATGGTATTATATCAAAATTAATACACTGATTTTGATAATTGTATAGTGGTGATGTAAATGAATGTCCTTATTTTTAGGAAAACATGAAGTGAAATATCTAGAGATGAAGGGTCATGGTGTGTGCAACTTACTCTCCAGTAGTTTAGGAGAAAGAGAAGAAAAAAAGAATAAAGCCAAGGTGATAAAATGTTATCATTTAGGGAATCTGGTGAGAATGATGAAAAGCCTATGGGAATTATTTATAATTTCCTGTAAGTTGGAATATGTCAAAATAAAAACTTGAAATAATGAAGAAAAGAAAACAAACTTTCAAAGTGAAATCAACCAATCAAAAAAAAAAAGGAGTTTATTAGTGGGAATGTAAAATGGTTCAGTAGCTCTGGAAACCAGTATGGCGATTCTTTAAAAAACTGAAAATAGAATTACCGTAGAATCCAGCAATTCCATTCCCGGGTATATATCTAAAAGAACAGAAAGCAGGATCACAAAGACATATTTGTACGTCTGTGTTAACAACAGCATTACTCATAGTAACTAAGGTGGAAGCAATCCAAATGTCCATGGACAGATGGATGAAGAAAATGCAATATATATATCATATGACAGAATATTATTTAGCCTTAAAAAGGAAGAAAATTCTGACCCATGCTACATCTGTCAGAACATGATGAACTTTAAGAACATTATACTAAGTGAAATAAGGATACAAAACTCTATAATTTCACCTTTGTGAGCTATCTAAACCAGTCAATTCATATTAACAGAAAGCATACTGATGGTTGCCGGGGCTTTGATTTGGGAAAAGTGAGGACTTGTGTAATGGGTATAGAGTTTGTTTTGTAAGATAAAAAAGTTCTGGATGTCAATTGTACAACCATGTGAATATACTTAACACTACTGAACTGTACACTTAAAATGGTAAAGATTGTAAATTTATGTGTTTTTTACCACAAGATTTTAGAAAAAAGTTATGATTTACTGATGAAATTATATAATACATGGGAAGGAATAAAGGTTGGATGAAACAGGACTGACTATGTATTGGTAATATTGATGTTCAGGTGTTGGTATGTGTAGTTGTATTAAATTAGTCTTTCTACTCTTCTGCATGCTTGAAACTTTCCATTAAAAACATTTAAAAAATATCTCCACTTCAGAATTTGTAAGTTGCAATTTAGATTCTGTGAGATTGCCTCATATCTTTACTCAACTGATGTCTTTTGACCATTGCTGAGTTTCATAATAAAGTGGAGAATGAGAAGACCAGAACTGTGTTTAGAGATCTCCAAAGATATTTAGTCCCCTGAGAAGGAAGTGGCAACCCACTCCAATATTCTTGCCTGGAGAATCCCAGGACAGAGGAGCCTGGCAGGTTATAGTTCATGGGGTCACAAGAGTGGGACATGACTTAGTGACTAAACAGCAGCGGCCACACCAAGGATGATGCAGNGCCATGATCTTAGTTTTCTGAATGTTGAGTTTTAAGCCAACTTTTTCACTCTCCTCTTTTACTTTCATCAAGAGGCTCTTGATGAAAGTGAAGTGAAGTGAAGTGAAGTGAAGTGAAGTGAAGTTCTTCTTCACTTCCTGCCATAAGGGTGGTGTCATCTGCATATCTGAGATTATTGATATTTCTCCTGGCAATCTTGATTCCAGCTTGTGTTTCATCCAGTAACTTGTATCAGTTAAGCATGTAATTAATTTTGCTGATGGGTACATTAGGAAGGAGCAGGAAGGAAGGAGGAACTAGTTGGGAAGAGTGCCCGCAGAGGCATTGAAGTCTCCAGGAACCAAGTAAGTACATCGATGGGTGATCACAAAGGGCGCATAGTGTGTTCAGTAGTCCTTCTGTCTCTGCAAAGCCTGGAGTTGACATTTAAGGCTGGTTTGTTAAACTAGGCAACTTTTCAGCTCTTTTCAGCACCTGAGACTGCAGCTGGGGTAATGAGGAAGAGGAGTGAGATGAGTGATGGTGGAGTGCTGAGCTTGCACCAGGTTGTGCAGGGCCTGAAGCTTGTTTCTTTTCCACACTACTGATAAATGATTATATTTTCATCATAAGAGTGAAACCTACATCAAAGTATTACTGTGAAAAACTGAGATTGCCCTTCAGTTTAACCTTGCTTCCACTACCCACCCACTATGGGAACCCACTCTTTGTGGCTCATCTTTCCTTTCTTTTTTGACCTTCAAGTTTCAAATCAGAAAGAGAAAAGCCTAAAGATCCGATGGTGGTTCTTCCTCCCCATCCCACCTTTCCTCTTCTTTCCCCCTCCTCCCCTTCCCATCCCCCAAGCCTGTGTTTAAATGTCAGAGCACCTATAACTCCGAGAAAATGTGTGACCATTTCCCATTTGTTGGGCTCCTAGATTGTAATCTCCCCATGGCCAGAGCTTGGGTTTTACTATGTTTTGAAGTCTGTTTACTCAGGGTGACTGAGTGGAGGAGTGGTAAGCTGCCTGGATAAACTAGGTTTGCCTTTCTCAGTCTGGTTCATACTTGGTGCTACTGCTAAGTCACTTCAGTCGTGTCTGACTGTCTGCGACACTATGGACTGTAGCCCGCCAGGGTCCTCTGTCCAGGGAATTCTCCAGGCAAGAATACTGGAAAGGATTCCTTCTCCAGGGGATCTTCTCCACCCAGGGATCGAACTCTGAATTTGCAGACAGATTCTTTACCGTCTGAGCAACCAGGGAAGCAAGGGACATTGAAGGGACCCAGCCTCCAAGTAGAGACCCCCTCAGGTCACATAAACTCTGGTGGCCTGAGCTGAAGCCTCCAAATGAAGGGAAATACATAAGAAATGTACGGAAACAACATGGCCTTGTGGGGAAGACCCTGGACTTGCAAGAAGGACGCAATAAAGCGCTGGGTCTCAATGTTACCTCTCCAAGGCTCCTGATAACGGGGTTTCATAACACCCGCCGAGCCTTGGAGAAGAAACTTGTGCATAATGAGCCATGTTGTGCATAAGGAGCCATGTTGCGCAGCGACCACCACCTCGGTGCTCCTGAGATCCAGGCTGCCAACCTGCAGTGACCCTGTACGCGCGATGGTCCCTTGGTCCCGTCTGCTTCGCCTCAGGACGCGGCAGGAGCTGCGCCAGTCCTGTGTCCTGGAAATGCGCGCTGGTGGCCGCGAGCCGGGAGCGCGGCCCCGGCCCCTCGGGCTGCGCCGCCGTCCTGCTGCCGCCCTCCTGTGGCCGCTGCGAGGCGACCTCCGGCCGTCCTGCGGGCCTCCTCCCTCGGCCGGTGACATCACCGCATTCCCGTCCCGGCTCCTCCCGCCTTGCAGCCGCAGTGACAGGCGAGCCGGGCCCGGTGGCGGAGAGGAAGTGTGGGGCCCACGCGCCGAGCCCGTCCCCGCCGAGGCCGAGCGGCTCCCCCCGGGGTGCTCGGGTGACAGTGCCGTGGCCGCCGGGCGCAGCGCGGGGCACGCGCCGGGCAGAGCCGAGCACCAGACGGACGCTTCGGCGGAGACGCGGGGAAAATGGCTGATGACTTTGGCTTCTTCTCGTCGTCGGAGAGCGGGGCCCCCGAAGCGGCCGAGGAGGACCCGGCGGCTGCCTTCCTGGCCCAGCAGGAGAGTGAGATTGCGGGCATTGAGAATGACGAGGGCTTCGGGGCACCTGCCGGCGGCCAGGGGGGCCTCGCGCAGCCGGGACCCGCGAGTGGGGGTGAGTCAGCGCGGTGGCCTGGGTACTGGGGGTTGGGGGGGTGGGATCTGGGGCTCGCACCCGGGGTCCTCGGCCTCCGGGCCCTGCGGTAGAGCGAAGAAGGCCTGCTGTGGCCGGCCAGCAGCAGGCCTGGGGCTGTGGTGTACCTGCGGGGGACCTGGAGAAGGAAATGGGAGGGGGATCTTGTGGCCTTCCCCATCTGAGGCCCCGCCTGGGGCTGAGGATCTGGTGGCTCCCGGCAAAGAAATTCGTCATGACATTTCATTCCCAAGCCAGCTCCACCACTGCCTGTCTCTGGAATCCAACGCAGCCCAGCCTCGAGCTTCCCAGTAGGCTGGCTGCCCCGGGCTGAGCCCTGGGAGTGTGCTCAGGACCTCAGACCTCCCTGAACCTTGGACTTAGCTCCCTCCTTCAGTTGGGAAAGCTGGAGGCTTGGGTGTTCTAAGAACTTACAGACTTTCCTGGAGGATCACCTGCCATCCTGCGGTCACTGTTCTAGGCACTTTACTTAACATTTCATCATTTCATGTGCATTATAAACCCATTTCAGAGATGGCAGAACCAAGGCTCAAAATGTACACTACTGCAAGAACTAGTAAGTGGTAGAGTGAGGACTAAACAATTTCTCTCAGATTCTGAATCCTCTCCCCCTGGCCACGTTGTCTTCCATATGCCAGGCTCTGAGTTAGATACCAGTATGGGGGCGGGGGTACAGAGGGCTTCAGTCAGATGTGATCCTGCCCTCCTGGGTTTGGAGAGGGTTTGGAGCTTAGTGGTTTTGCAAAGGTGGTCCAGGGCTATTGGGGTTAGCTTCAGGCTCAGGGTTTGGGGCCTGGTCCTTGCAATAGCGTGTTTATCAGCAATGTTCCTGCTGTAGTTCTGCCTGAAAGAACAATTTCTTAAAGTTAAAAACTAGCTATCATTTTCATGGGTGCCTCCAAAACAGCCCTTGTTTCATGTTAATGTTGTCATTTTAGTGGGGGTTTATGGGCCTGTTGGAATAAGTGGTAGCTTACATATATTAAAAAAAATGTTTACAAGTAAGGCTCCTTATAGTCATATATGTATTCATTCAACTTTTACTGAGCACCTATTGTGTGCCAGATGCAGTGGGGATACAGATATGAATAAGACAGTTCCTGTGACTTGAGGGGCTTGAGCATCTCTGTATCCTCTTCCTGTGAGAAACATAACAAGCCCTTTGTCACATGTAAGAAACTGGAAGCCCAGAGAGCCTGAGTGTCTTGCCCAAAGTCACACAGCCGTGAGTGACAGACCTGAAACTAGATCCCAGGCCTCTCAACTCTGGGCTCCACATTCTTTCAAGCGCTGTGGCAGTCACCCTGGGAGGTGATGGGATGTGGAGGTGGGGGAGGGGGGTCTTTTGCTACCCAACCAAGTCAGCAGTGGATGTCTTCTGAAGGAGCAGCAGCTTCTAGCACTTTGGCACAGACCCTCACACACCCCAGGGAATTCCTAGAAAATATGGGCCCACGTCTTGAGACTACCAGCTTCCCCAGTCAGGTTGGCATGGGAGAGGCCCTGCTGGGAGAGTCCATGTCGGAACCACCTAGGAGAGAAGCAGGGAGAAGTCAGGCACAGAGCTGCAGAGGTGGCTGGGGTTTGAACAGGCTGTGACCTCTCCTAGGACGGTGGGACTCCAGGGATTTATGGCCTGGGTGGGAGGTTCCCTCTCTGGCAGGGGTGGTACAGGTTGGCCCCAGACCGGAGGTGGCAGGGAAAGAAGCAGCGACATGGCCCTCTGAGGGTCTCCTGGACTCACAATCACTAAAGCTGCAAATGCTCAGCTGCCCTGCTGAGTGGAGCACAGGGATCTGAGAGGAGTTATGGGATTCGGCTCAATAGGTGGCCAGATAGGATAGAATTGATCTGACCCTCCTAGGTCTAGATGATGATGAGTAAGTAATCCCCCGGAGACCGGTGATGAGTGCCAGAAGCCTGAATAAGTTGCAAAAAAATGTGCCTTAGGCTTCTGGAAGCTGGACGGAAGCTCCTGAAGCCAGCACTACTCATCACTTCTCAGTCTTGTCTCTTAAATGATGCCCTTGTGCTGAGTGCCCTGACTTTGGGGACAGGGGGTGCTTCCTGGATGGCTCAGTGGTAGAGAATCCTCCTGCAATGCAGGAGATGCGGGTTCAATCCCTGGGTCAGGAAGATCCCCTGGAGGAGTGCATGGCAACCCACTACAGTATTCTTGCCTGGAGAATCCCATGGACAGAGGAGTCTGGCTGGCTAGTCCATGGGGTCGCACAGAGTCGGACACGTCGGAGCATGAATGCATGCATGTACCTCAGGCGAAACTGTTTACAGTAGGCCTGAGCCTGAGCTCCTTTGAGTCCCTCCTCTGGGGCTGGAGTTGCAGCCAGCCTGAGCAATAGATACTTCGTTTCCATTCATCAGCCTTGGGTAGGGCCCAGGAGGTTTACATTTTCACACCCAGATTTCTGTGCGCCCTGCCTGGCTCTGCCCTGGACTTGCCCAGTCATTTCCTGGGCAAGCCCATTTTCCCCTGATGGGACTCAGTAAGCTCCCAGAAATGTTCTGGACCCCGTCTGTCCCCGTCCCAAAAGGGGATTAGGGATCTGAGGGAAGTCACAGCCACAGCTTATCCCTGGGACTCGTATCTGCCTCACTCCTGTTCTGCTGGCTTTGGACTGTGGACACATGATTATTAACGTGCCGTGGGCTGGTCAGAAAGCTCTCTGAGGACAGACACTCGTTAATTCCGTGTGTGGGTGTGTGTGGATTCCCAAGGAGGCTGAAGCCTCATTTCCAAAGGGGAGCACCCATGGGACTGAGAGACTGGGTTGCAGAGACTTCCTGAAGGACAGGGTGGGCCCCCGGCCGCTCCTGCGGTTGAGGGGTCTGAGATTGGGACTGGTCAGGGTGGAGTGTGGGAGGGGGCACAACTTCCCCTCCAGAAATGCCAAGTGCACAGACCAGCATCATGAATGGACCCTGGTAACTTCAGACCCTGGTAGAGGAGATGCCCCTGGAGAAGATGCTGCCACTGGTTTAGGGACCAGGCCACCTGTGCAGGAGAAACCCCATCTAAACAAGCAGGAAGGATGGCTGACAACTGTTGGTTAAAATCCATCACTGTTTGAAAACAAAATTGATTAGAATTTATATCTGCTGGGGATTTTTTTCCATGGGGTTAAGGACCCCTCCCTTTAGTCCCCAAGTTGGAAGCACTGTCACTGTGACTCACGGCTCTATCTGGCTGGTGAAGTGTACTTGTCCATCTGGGGTGGTCTTGTACAGCCTCCCGTGGCTCCTGACTAAGAGGCATTGCAGTTTCTGAGAGTCCTGAGGCCTTGCAGACAACAGCGGGCCCCCAAAGAGCAATTCAGCTTCCGTTTAGCCAATACTGACTGCTCACCCATAGGAGCTACCTGAATGGGATACAGAGCCTGATAAGGGAATGCATGACCCATGGGAGGTCACAGTAATCATGTAAGAGGGTGGGGGGTGCTATATAGTATTTTGGGATCCTCCATAGTAGTTGAGACCTTCCATCAGTGCTCAGGGTAGAAGGGGAAGCTGTGGAGGGCTTCCCAGAGGAGGTGACTGGTGAACTGGGCTTTGGAGAACAACTGGATTCCCAAGAGCATTCTTTGGTGAGGGAAGTAGGAAGAAAGGCATGGAATGTGGCATAGTGTGTTTGGGGAAGGCGGAAACCAGAATAGGGTTTGTGGGAAGGACTGGTGGGAAGTGAGGCAGGAAAAATGGGCAGGGCCAGGTTGCAAAATCCTCATGAGTTATGGTTCAATGTATCCATTCAACAAATATTTATTGGGCATCTGTGTGTCAGGCACTGTTCTAGGTGCTGGATCCCAGTGATGGACAAAACAAAGTCCCTGCCCTCCTGGAGGGCTTTCAAGTGGGGTAGACAGTTAATTAGCACACACAAAAATAAACGTATCAGGCTGTGCTAGGTGATACAGAGAAAGTACTGTACAGGGGAGGAGTGGGGTGCAGAGGACGAATGTCAGGGATGGTCAGGGAAGACCTCTAATAAGGAAGTGTTTGAGCAGAGGCTGAAAGGCTTGAGGGAGCAGGAGAGCCTTCCAGGGAGAGGGAACGGCACCTGTCAAGTTCCCAAAGAAGGAGCAGATCCTATGGGCTGCCGTGGTCCACAGAAAGTGGCTTTCATTTTAGTTTGTGTTCATTTTATTTTTAATTAGAAGAGTTACGTAGGTAAGTGTATGCTTTTCATCAGCCATGGCGGTTGGTTTGAAAGAGGTTTGGGAGAGGGTGAAGATGGAGGCAGGGAGGCCTGTGAGTGGACAGAAGCCATTTAGTCCTTCTTTCTTTAGTGCATTGATTCATTTGCTATTCAACAAATAGCTTCTGAGCACTTTCTAAGCTGCAGGTATGGTACCTGGCTCTGGGGAAGACAGTGGGGAGGGTTTGGACACAGGTGTGTCCCTCCAGGTGCTCACTGCCACTAGTACCTGTGCAGGCGGGCCTGGCGGGGGGCAGAGGGACTCCCAACTTTAAGGGTTCTGGCTGCAGCAGAAGTCACGGGAATTTGTGACTAATCGGGTGTCAGGGCAAGGGAACAGGAGGAGTCACTGTTGAGATGAGGGCCACAGTAAATCCTTCTGGGAGGGGCAGGAGGAGGGAAAACAGGCCAGGTGCTGCCTGGTAGGGGCTGATTCCTGCTCTCCCAGGTGAAGCCATTGCTCAAGACACCTCAGGGACAAGCGGAGACGCGCAGTGCCTTCTTCCTGAGCCCTTGCAGACCTGCCCTGAGACTCCAGCTCCTCAGCTGGCTCACTGGGCATAGGCCCCATAGGTAATCAGGCTATTCCTAACTGTGGCTGAGGGGAAATTAATTTCAGGTAGGTGAGGAGCTATTACTGGCTGGCGACCTTGGGCAATCATGTAGCCTTTCTGGGCCTCAGTTTGAGAATCTGTAAAATGGGTTGATAACATACCTTGTGCCTTTCAGCACAAGGCTATGGTGAAAATTAGATGTGATAACAGCTATGAGAAGGCTTTGTGAACAGTCAAGGACTGAACCCAGGTTGTTTATGTGTACATGATGTCTGCATATGTGGAAGTCAGAACACACACACGGATATATAGAGAGGTTGGCTCAGTTGCTAATGTAGGACCCTGCTTATTATAAGCTGAGCAATGAGTAATGCTGTCTTCTTGTTCTGTTTCTATCAGGTTCTGAGGACATGGGGACCACGGTCAATGGAGATGTGTTTCAGGTAAGCAAGATTCTGTCCTCGCAGTGGGAGGGACTGACAGCCTGGGTCTCAGTAACTTTTTGGCCCCCATCATGGGTAGGAAGAGGGCTTCAAGTTCTGTTCATTGGGATGGGAACATTAAGAAAGGTTTTGACACTTTTTTTTTTTGGTTGTGTAGGAGAAGGGGATGGAGAATAAGGACCGCACAGATAGGGATGGATGGGGTATGGCCTCAGGTTGCCCTTGGTAATGTCTAGCTTGCAGAGGAAGAAAGAAAGTGGCCCACAGTGGCATGGACTAAAGGAAACACAGGGCCCTGCATGTGTTTGCCACTGGCCGGAGGCTGAACCCAGCGGCCATCTCCACCATGTCTGCGCATTTTCACTGCGTTAAAACCCAGTTAAAAGACCCAGTTAAAAGAGATTTCACTTCTCAGAATTTTCCTAAAGAAAAAGCTGGACAGAGACACTCAGATTCTTTGTACGATTATTTATAGTAGCAGACAAACTGGAAATCATCTACGTGCCCATTCTTGAGGACCTGGGTAGGAAAATTGGAAAACCATGCTATTGTTACAAAGAGCAGTCAGAGCTTTCTGTATGGACATGAAAAGATGCCCATAATATAATAAATGGAAAAGCAGCTTGCAGAGTAATATGCACAGTATGGTCCTGTTTTTTATTTTAGAAATATGTTTGCGTGAAGATCTGAAAGGATGTGTACCAACTGTTAGCAGTGGTTAACCCCAAGGTTGTGGGAGAAGGGAGGGAGGGTAAGGAAAAGCTTTCACTTTGAGTGGTTTTAAAATTCTTTGTAATGATCTGTAACATACACATTCTCTCTCTCTCTCTCTCTCACACTCCCCCCCTAACACCTCCCCCCCAAAAAAAAATCCAGATAGTAAATACCTACTCCAGTATTCTTGGGTTTCCCTAGTGGTTCAGACCATAAAGAATCTGCCTGCAATGAGAGAGATCAGGATTTGATCCCTGGGTTGGGAAGATCCCCTGGAGGAGGGCATGGCTACTCACTCCAGTATTCTTGCCTGGAGAATCCCCATGGACAGAAGAGCCTGGCGGGCTATAGTCCATGGGGCCATAAAGAGTAGGACACGAATGAGTGACTAAGCACATCACAGATATTTCTAGTTAAAAACTTCTCTCCACACTCACCTAAGCCCCCTCCTTTCCTACATATACAGATCATATTAAGAGTACTTAAAGAATTTGGAACACAAATAGTATCCTTGGGACCCCACAGATGCAACAGTCTTCACCGGACGAACTTTAATTCCCACTGGACTGGGTCAATGACCTTTGACTGTTGCAGGATCTCCTGAGCTCTGCCTCATGGAGGAGCTGGCCTCCTAAATCCTCAGGGAGAACAAACAATAGTTTCTTATGTAAGAGGGATGGGCTGGTACCTTACACAGGGCAACTGGCCAAGTCCCATTTCTGGAAAATTACTCAACTGCCGGCAAGCTAGAAAAGTTAGTCTCTAGGACTTTAAGAGCTTCGTGTCTCCTTGGGCCTGCCTGAGAGCTCCAAATAAGCAGCGCTGATGCCTGGTCAGTTAGGCAGAGCAGAGAGACTCAGACTGTGCCTGTCCTGCACATACATCAAAGGACTTGGCTTGATCCAAAAGGTCTGTGTCCTAAAGTGGCCCTGGAGCTAGAGATATACTTGGGGCCATAGTACCTAGAACACCAGGAGCAAGATAATTTTCCCTTTCTACACATTAGCACCTTGAGGCCTTCTCCCATCCTGCCCCCTGGCCTCACTTTGTATTGAATGAATCTGAGAAACCCTAGGCCTCCTCCCCAATCTCAGTGGGAATTTTCTTCTCACTGCTACCAAGGACAACCCCAGGTATGTTTATTTGTGAATCATTTGTGGGAGACTTGGGTTGGATCCCTGGGTTGGGAAGATCCCCTGGAGAAGGGAATGGCTACCCAGTCCAGCATTCTGGCCTGGAGAATTCCATGGTCTGTATAGTCAGTCTTTGGGGTCACAAAGAGTTGAACACGACCAAGTAACTTTCGCTTTCACTTTCATTTCACATCTGTGCCACGATAGCATCCTTGCAGGCAGGGAAGGGGGTCACAGATGAGGCAAGTCACTCAGAAGCTTAGTGGCCAATTTCAGGTTCATCTATATGTATGCAGTGTATGCTAAGTTACTTCAGTCCTGTCTGACTCTTTGCGACCCCATGGACTGTAGCCCACCAGGCTCCTTTGTCCATGGAATTCTCCAGGCAAGAATACTGGAGTGGGTTGCTATGTCCTTCTCCAGGGGATCTTCCCGACCCAGGAACTGAACCATCGTCTCTTACATCTTGGGCTTTGCCAGGCAGCTTCTTTACCACTGGCGCCAACTGGGAAGCCCTCAGGTTCATCTAAATTTCTTGATCTGGTGCCCTTTGCTCCACCCCCTTGTTGCTGGACCAGGCAGGCCACAGGGGCCAGCTTGCTGGTGGAAGCCCCTGCAGATTTCTCTTAGGATGGAGCACAGAGCAGGGTCTGACTTTCAAGGGTCCTGGACAGAACTTTCCTGCTACCTTACTTGATCTTTTCTGGAAGCCTGTGGCCCACTGGGAGCTTCCCTGGTGGCTCAACAGTAAAGAATCTGCATGCAGTGGAAGAGCCACAGGAGACATGGGTTCAATCCCTGGGTCAGGAAGATCCCCTGGAGGAAGGCATGACAACCCACTGCAAGGCAAGAACCCAAGTGTTCTTGCCTGGAGTATCCCTGGACAGAGGTGTCCATAGGGTTGAAAAGAGCCAGATACGACTGAAGCGACTTGGTATGCAACACGCACATGGGCCACTGCGGGGTCCAGCTATGAACCTGATCCCCAACAAGGCCTAAGGATAAGCCTGTCCAAGCCTATTCTAATTCTCTCTGCCGCTGCCAGGGGCAGGGAGAGAAGGCCCCAGCAGGACACCCTCCTCCTACACAAGCTCTCTTGCTTCCTCCACTCACGTGGCCATCATGCCCACTGAGCTACTTAGAGGAATCAACAGCTCAGCTCAGCTTAGCTTTAGCTGATCAATCCCCAGGATCAGCTGTGCCTCATCCTCCTGGCTGCCCATGGTGTCACAGCACGTGCTGGGCCAGCCTGGCCCCCGGAAGCCCTCGTGGTGGTCTCCAGTGTCCAGCAGAGGGGTCCCTTGGGAGAGGGGTGCCGCCAGAGAGCCGGGCCGAGGCGAGCCCGGCCCTGATTGTAGCCTCCTGCCTTTTGGTCCTGGCCATTCCCAGATGCCTTCCCTTTCGAGCTTGGGAGGGGCTCCAAGCATTCCTGCAGCCCTGGGCGAGCCCTCCCGGGCTGTCAGCCCCCTGGCAGCTGACCCTGTTTCCTCACTGGGACAGTCTAGTGATTGAGGAGGAGCCCATCCCGTGACTCTTCCAGCCTCACTGCTCACTGGCAGGGGCAGGACTGGAAAATAAGTCCAGATCAGTGGGTGAAGGGGAGCCAGCAAACAGCTTCTCAGGACCTCGTCTGCCTGCAGCACCGCTGTGTGTTCTCCTGGTTGTGGTGATGGTGCAGGGTGGCCGGCCGACTGATGGTGGGGAGGTTGCCATGGGCGATGCTGCAGAGCCATGCAGCTCTGCCCCCTGCACATGTGCTGTCTCCACGCCTATGGGCTACAGCGGTTGCAGGGCAGTTATCACATTCAGGCCCCACTTCACACCTGGAGTGGGATGTTGTCACTCCCATTTGACAGGTGACGACACCTAAGGAGCACCAGGAGGGGACTTCTTAAAGGTCGCACATCCAGTGAGTGTCAGGAGGGGACTTAAAGCCCAAGTCCCTCTGATGCTGTGTCCCAGGCTCTCCCCATGCCCTCCACATTGCTTTGCAGGCAGCCCCTCGTTCCTTCATTTAGTCAGCTCACATTCTGAGTGCCATGTGCTGTGCTCAAAGCCTTGGATGTAGAGGCAAATCCAATGGCTGTTGGTTCTCAAAGAGCCCAAATGACAGACCTGAAAGTCGTGCGGGACAGCAGGGGCTCAGGTGTGGGGCTGGTCTCAAGAGCCAGGAGTCTGAGTTCTTACTGTACATCAAAATGGAAGTATCAGTCGCTCAGTTGTGTCCGATCCTTTGTGACCCCAAGGACTGTAGCCCGCCAGGCTCCTCTGTCCATGGGGATTCTCTAGGCAAAAATACTGGAGTGGGTTGCGATTCCCTTCCACAGGGGATCTTCCCAACCCAGGAACGAACCCAGGTCTCCTGCACTGAAGGCAGATTCTTTACCATCTGAATCACTGGGGAAGCTATTCTGCATTGGGCACCACCCAAAAGCTTTAATGGATTAACTCATTTCATCTTCCCAACACTCCTATCATGTAGGTTCCATACAGTATCCCCACTTTACCGATGAGGGGAAGGAGGACACACAGGGAAGTTTAATAGCTCTGGTTACACAGCCGGAAAGAGCTGGGACCTGAAGCAGGCTCAGCCGCTAGCTGCTGCACTGAAGTCAGAGAGGGCAACTGGAACGGATGCTGGAAGCGGGTTCCAGGCTGCCCAGGGGGAGGTGGGTGGTCCTGGCTGGGAGGACAGCATGTGCAGAGGCACAGAAGATAAGATGCTCAGTCTGGGGCTGCTGCAGGGAAGGTTGTGCTGGGGGAGCCGGAAGAGACCACAGGTGCAGGGCCGTGTGCCTGCAGGTGGGAGGCATAGGGGTGTGTGGGGGGCGGGAACAGCTCCCAGCCAGAGCCTATCAGTGGGCCGTGTTGGTGGAGGAGGCGGGCTCAGCTTGACCGGGCTCTCCACTCAGAGCCTGGGGCACAGCCAGCTCTGGGCACCACCTGCTGGGGCCACACTGAGCGATGCCCCTGGATGTGGGGTGCAGCTGCTCCAGGCTCCTCCCCTCAACCCTCCTAACCTCCCTCCGTCCCCAGCATCTACTCCAGCTGCTTCTACACCCAGACTGAGGCGCTGTGGTGAAGTCTGGATGGCGTCAGACAATCTGGGCTTCATTTCTGCTTTTTCCCAGCTGGATGACCTTGGACTAGTCGCTGCCTTGAGCTGGATTTGTCATTTGTAAAATGGGGATGAGAAGCCCTCCCTTGCTGTCCCCAGAGGTCTGTTGAGAAGAGTGTTCTGTAGCCTTAGAAGCTTCTTATCCCTGAGCTAGCCACTCAGTGAGCCAAGGAGGGTATGAAGGCAAGTGTGGGAGAGACAGGGAGTGGGCCTCGGGACAGTGGGAGGACAGGGCATGGTCTCTAATCTTGGGATGGTAGACGTGTTAGGGAGGAAGTCACGTGACACAGAAGTGACTTTGGCCCCTGTTGGCTATGTGTGGCTGGTGTGTCACACCCAGGAATTCAGTTTGAATTCTGGCTTTGCCAGTTGCTGGCTGGGTGACCTTGGGACTTTGAAGCTAGACTTTTTCCTACCTGTAAAACAAAGATAATAAAACCCACCATGAAGGTTTGTGAAGGCCAAAGAGAACCATTTAATTGAAGGTTCTTTGCAAGTTTTTAAGCACTCTAACCTGTGAGTCTTAATTTTAGGGCAGTCTTGAAGGAGATGGTGGGGTTTCCCAGGTATCTCAGTGGTGAAGAACCTGCCTGCCAATGCAGGAGACACAGAAGATGCTGGTTCGACCCCTGGGTTGGGAAGATCCCCTGGAGTAGGAAATGGCAACCTACTTGAGTGTTCTTGCCTGGAAAATTCCATGGATAGAGGAGCCTGGCAGGCGGTAGCAAAGATCCATGGGGTCGCAAAGAGTCGGACACGACTGAGCACGCCCGCACTTCTAAAGGAGATGGTGAGTCCTCAAGGACACCATGGAATGACTTCTACCCCTCCAGCCCACCTCTCTCAACCCATCTCATCCACACGTGGCAGCATGTCTGTACTCACATTTTCCCAAAGGCACCAGCCTCACATGGTCCTTACACTGCCAACTCTTGGTCTGAAATGCCCTTCCCCTGTCTCTTCCCAGCCTACTCTGCTCCTAGGCTAGAAAGGTCATGTCCTCCCTTGTCCCCCTTCTTTTCATGACCCATGTTATGCACGTACCCCAAGCCATGGTCTTCATTTGTGAGGAACTCCCTCTGCCAAGCTCCTGGATGATGCCAGGATGCCAGCTTGTTCATCTCTGTCCCCAAGCATGAACATATGTTAATTCATTCAAGAGATGTTCTTGAGCTCCTCTTACAGCCAGGCCTTCCCTGTCCTAGGTCCTTACAGAGACAGTCTCTGTCTGCATGGAACTCACTTACTGGGGAGGGGTGGGGGGCAGATAGTAAAGAAAATCAGAACGTGTTAGTTGCTTAGTCATGTCCGACTCTTTGCAACCCAAGGACTATAGCCCACCAGGCTCCTCTGTCCATGGGATTTCCCAGGCAAGAAATACTGGAGTGGGTCACCATTCCCTTCTCAAGGGGATCTTCCTGACCCAGAGATCAAACCCAGGTCTCCCGCATTGCAGGCAGATTATTTACTATCTGAGCCACCAAGGAAGCCAGTCTTTTAAGATATCACGAGTACCAAGAAGAGATAAAATGTAGCACCTGAATAAACACGTAGACACCAAAGTAACTGCACTTGTCTGCAGATGGGACATTCTATAGGATTGGGTAGAGGTCCTGGTAGCCTGGCCTTTGGACCGGGTTGTTCCCAGAACGGAACAGGGTGGGGCTCACCCTACATCAACTTGTGATCAACTTGTGTTGTTGAGATTAGGGGCCTGAAAAGGCCCCTTGAGATGTCTTGAGAGACTCTAAATTAAAATATAATGCTGGGCAGGAAGGAGGAATAAGGGCAGTGACCCAGCTGCCCCACCCAAGGGTGGTCTGATCCGAGGAGCCAGGCAGCACTGCCTCGCCCTCGGCCTGCCCTTCTGTCTCCCGAGGGAGATGCAGCTCTTGTGTCCATCTGTGTGCTCCTCCACCTTGCTGCCCGCAGCCCCTTGGACAGACACCCAGCACTTCCTCTGAACCGGCACATGCTGGTCCCAGGGGGGATCTTCATCCATACGGCCACCGCTTGTTGAGCCCAGCTGTGTGGGCCCGTTGGACAGATGCTGTTGGGTGGGGAGAAGACATTAAACAACACTGGGATCCATGACAGTTTGATGAGTCCCTGAGCAACAGAGCAGTGAAAGGAGGGACATGTTCATAGGGCTGTAAACAAGGTTCTGCCCTGCTGCCAGGGATCTCCCAGTCCAGCCAGGAGACTCACATGGTGGAAGGCAAAGGAGCACGGGGAGAGGAAGGGCTGTGGTCTGCTTGGGGGTTTGGAAATAGCCCAGAGCTGGTGACTTCTGAGCTAGAAACTTGGGATGGAATAAGATTTCATTAGCTGGGGGAAGGAGGGGAGACAATTGCAGGCCGAAAGCACAAAGGCGGGGCAGCGTGGGTGTGGGATGGGTGGAGACAGGAACGCACTGGGCGGACAGAGCTCCAGAGATGGGCTGGATCATAAAAAAGCTCTGGCTCTTCAAGAACAGAGGGAAGCCTCATCCTGTCTGGGCTGAGCTCTCAGCCTGCCATGCTTGGAGTCCCCTACCCTGGCAGGCAGCCTGGAGAATTGGGCAGAGCCCTGGCTTGGAAGTCAGAGGAGGCCTGGACTGCAGCCCAGGTTCTGCCATGACATTGTGCCATCTCTCCTGGCCTCAGTTTCCACCCCCTATAAGATGAGAATGAATAATAATAATAATTCTAGCTATCATTTGCTGAGCCATCACTCCATGCCGGGCACTCTTGTAAATTTCTTACAAGTACTGTTGCATCAAATCCTCACACCAGCTCTTAGAGGTAGTTTTAGTATCATCTTCATTTCAGATGAGAAAACTGAGGTCAAGCAAGGTTGAGTTACACACATGTAGCAGGGAGTAGAGATGGGATCTGAACCCAGATGGTCTGGTCTCCAAGTCTGAGTTTCCCATCACTGCACAATCTTAGCTAAGCCCACCCTGCCTATCTCAGGACTGTTCACTCAGTAAATAGTTACAGAGTACCTGCTCTGTGCCAGGCACTGTGCTGGGTGCTGGGGACACAGCAGGGAACAGGGCAGGCAAATCCCTGCTGTCACAAATGTGACATTCTGATAGAGGAGACAGACAATAGACAAGTAAATGTATTATAAAGTGAGGCCATTTGGGCCTGTGTGTTATTGGGTGAATAAAACTAACAGTGCTCAGTCGTGTCCGACTCTTTGTGACACCATGGACTGTAGTCTGGCAGGCTCCTCTGTCCATGAGATTCTCCAGGCAAGGATACTGGAGTTGCCATTTCCTCCTCCAGGGGATCTTTCCCACCTAGGGATCAAACCTCAGTCTCCTGTGGCTCCTGCATTGGCAGACAGATTCTTTACAATTGAGCCACGTGGGAAGCCCACAGCTAACAGAGTGGAACTTTAATGACAGAAACACAGGGAACTCTCTGTGTGCCAAGAAGCAGTTGAAATTCTTTATGCTTTTAAAACTCATTTCATCCTCATTGTAACCCTATGGAGTGGGTGCTATTCTGTAGCCCGTTTTGTGATGAGGAAAGTCAGGCCCAGAGAGGCTGAGTAACTTGCCCAGGGTCACAGAGGGGAAAGAGCGACTGGTGGAGGGCACCGCAAGTGCAAAGGCCAGCTACAGTCACAGGAGATAGTGGGCATGACGTGGTTTGAGATGTGAGGGGTTTAAAGAAAACCGATGTGTAGAGTTTTATTGCTTATAGAAATGACAACACTTTGACCCAGAAGTGGCTAAAGAATAAAGGGAAATTAGTGGCCTATGTAACTGGAAAGGAGTAGTCAAGAAGCAGAGACAGAGGGGTAGGTGGGCAGGCTGGGTACACTGGCGTCTGTCTGTGTCCTAGGAGGCCAACGGTCCAGCGGACGGCTATGCCGCGATCGCCCAGGCGGACAGGCTGACTCAGGAACCCGAGAGCATCCGCAAGTGGAGAGAGGAGCAGCGGAAACGGCTGCAGGAACTGGGTGAGGACGGGGCTGAGGCTGCGAGCTGGGCTGGGCCCCCTGACGGGGCTTCCCACTGGGGTGGTGGTTTGGGACCATCACCAAGGTCGGGTGGGAAGCCTGAGAGTACATGGGGCTCTTTAGTGTGGGGACTGGCAGAGGTCGGGGCTGAGGGGAGAAGCCGCCAGGGCAGCTGTGCCTCACATTCCTCCTGGAAAGCGGCTGCTCATTCACCTGTTGGGGGTCGCAGATGCTGCCTCCAAAGTGATGGAGCAGGAGTGGCGGGAGAAGGCCAAGAAGGACCTGGAGGAATGGAACCAGCGCCAGAGTGAACAAGTCGAGAAGAACAAGATCAACAACCGGTGAGCAGAGCTATCAGGGCATGAGGGGGCTGTGGGGACATGAGAGGAGCCACGAAGGAGAGAGGGGGCCTGTCACAAGGATGGGTGATTTGGTGGCGAGAACATGGAGGAAGGAGAAGCCAGACCCCCGGGGCTGTTTCCTCAGTGGCCTGTGGAGCTCAGCACCCTGAACGCTGCAGAGCTGGTGACTGTGAGCTCTCGCCTCCTCCCCACGACAGAGAAAAGCGAGTCTACCAGTTGATGGACGAGGGCCTAGGACCCACCGGAATGTGAGCCAGATGACCCTGGAACCCACTGGCCAAGAGCTGGACCGGGGGCCCTGTGGCCACGGTTAGCATCACAGAGAGCACAGGCCTGGCTGGGGGAAGAACCAAGCCATATGCAGGGTTTTCCTGCTTCTCGAAGTGACAACACTTCGACTCGGGAGTGGCTGAAGAGTAGGGGGAAATTCGTGACCTATGTAACTGGAAAGGCCAGGGGGAAGCAGGCAGGCACAGTGGGCTCCAGCTGAAACAAAGTCCATCAGTGCTCACTTTTACTGTCTCTCAGCCCTGCTTTCCTTCCCCCTACCTTCACTCTTGGGCATACACCCCAGGGATGGGGCCCCAGGTGGCCGCCAGCAGCTCCAGACTCCTGCTCTATTTTCTTGGCAGCTCCAGTGAAAGTAAGCCTCTCGCCCCCAGCAGCTTCAGCTGCTCTGGTGTGGGGTCACGTGCTCATCCCAGGCCCAGTGACTGTCCCAGGAGCAGAGACTCTCTGATGGACCCAGATGGGGTCTCATTTCTTGGTTTGTGTGTAGGGTCCGATCCCACACAAACCACAGGGACTGGGCGGGGGCAGCTGATGCTTTATAGGACAATCAGGATGCCCTTCCCGGAAGAAGAAGGACAGGTGTTGGGCAGGAAAGACAGTGGAGACCCACCGGAGAATCCCTTGCAGAAATGCTCTCTGCCCAGAGAGCGCCCGGCAGCCCCTACCTTTGAGGCCGTGCCCTTGAAGGCACCAGACCCGCCAGGCAGGGGAAGGCTGGCTCTGGGAAGCTTCCAGCTTCCGTTTCAACAAGCTGCTGCCTGCCAGACCCTGGGCTGGGCCCTGGGGAGGCAGAAATGAGAAGGACCGCATCTGTGTCCTCAAAGAGCTCAGCAGTGGGCAAACGTGCTGGGCTGGTCTCGGGAGCAGGGTCTCTGCAGGAAGGCTGTGGAAGCAAGGGATGTGGGAAGCAAGGGATGTGTGCGGAGGAGGGGGCCTCTAGGTCTGGGGACCTGGGCTTTGGAGGACAACTAGGAGACCAGGACACAACATGATGTGAAAGAAAGGCCATTGTCCTTTCTTTCTTTCTGTCCAAGAAAGGCTTGGGCAGCAGGGAGAGAGGCGGGAGGGAGGTCCGGAGTGAGGGCTCACATGTGCAGGGCCTCAAATGTGAGCATTGGGAAGACATGGGCTATGGGAGTCACAGAAGGTTTGTGAACAGGAGGAGTAACAGGATAAGGGCTGAGTTTTAGAAAGGGCCCCCTCCTCGGGTGGGTGGGGGTTCCCCTCTCTCCTCTCTGGGCTGTGGAGAGTTGCTGAGCCTTCCAGAACTGTGCTTCCTAACACGTCTCCAGCTGGAGGTACTAATGCTGATTTCTCTTTCTCTTTAACCCTCTGCCTGCCTGTCCATCTTGCCCTGCTGTTCTCCCCTCACCTAACCCCCATCCCCCAAGGATCGCTGACAAAGCATTCTACCAGCAGCCAGATGCTGACATCATCGGCTACGTGTACGTGTCTCCTTTGCTCTTCTGCTGGGGCCCCTGTGTGCGGCTGGCAGTTTCTTGAGTCTCTCCCTGGTGGGGTATGAATGAGTGTGGCTGGGCCTGGGGCAGTGATCAGAGAAGGAGGTGAGCCGCAGGGTGGACCCAGGCACCAACCTTCACCTCCATCCCCCTCAGGTGTCCTGAGCACCTTTGAGACAGATTTGCTAAATCCAAGCAGAGACAAGGAAAGAATGCTGGCCATCCTCAGGTGATAGAGGCAAAGGGCCAAGCAGCCCAACTCCTCTGGCCCTGAGATGGCTCTTGGGGTGGGAGGTGGGAGGTGGGGTGAGTTTCTTGTTGAACGAAACAAGCATGGGATGCCTGGTGCCGGAGGTATAAAGCACGCCCTGCCATCCCCCACCTCCTGCCTGAGTGTGCTGTTCCTCTCAGAGCTCCAGCCTGAATTTGGCTGCGAGCCCCTGGCGAGACCACCATTGGCCTATCTCACGTTCCTGGTTTGGGGTCTAGCCGGTCCTGTGCCTAATCCAGACAAGAGATTTCTTCTCATAGTTAGCTGGGTGGTGTGTTGGGGATTGTGAAGCTGAAGGAGAAAAAAAAGCAGTGATGAGTGTCTGATGACTGCCTCGTGCGTATGTGCCAAATATTTGCTGTTCCTCGCCCTGGGTACGCCCTTGGCAGCCCTCTCATGCTGTCTGGGCTAACCCTCCTCTTACAGAACCTGGGACACACCAAAATAACAGCCTTCCACTCCTTCCTCTGTCCACTCTCCTATTTATCCAGTACTTATTGGTGCTTACCCAATGCCAATCTCCGGTCCAACAGGAATAATATGCACACAGTCCATCCCCTTAAGTTGCTCATGGTTGCAGATGTGTTGTGATAAGAGCTGCTCACAAGGACACGCAGGGATCCCACAGAGCCACCCTCTGCGGGGGAAGCTTCATATATGTGGGACCGCCCCTGGCCCTTAAAGCGTGAGGTGGAGTTTGCTGTGTGGGGAGGGTGAGAAGAGAAGGGTGCCCTCGATGGGAAAAGCTGCTGGGGCAAAGGCTATGAGAGGGGAAATACCTAGTGGCCTGCAGTGGCTGGGGTTGGGGTCTGGGGGGCGGGGAGAAAATTAGTTTGGAGCCACTTGAAGAAAGCCTGTAGTGTGATGCTTAAAAGCTCAGACCTGATCCTGAAGGTAGCGGAGAGCCATGGGAGGTTTCAAGCAGGAGACTGGGGATGGCAGAAGGGCATTGGTGCTGGAGAACACCGCAGGGGGTTCTTTGCTCCTGTTGTGCCTGAGGAGGTGACCCAAGGAGCACCCAAGGGAATCCCAAAGAGAGGAAGAGTCTAGACCAGCGCTTCTCAGACCTGCTTGTACCTATGAATCACCAGGGGCTCTTGTCAAAATGGAGATTCTGACACAGAAAGACTGAAGTGAGGCCATGATTCTGCATCGCCAACAAGCTCCATGGTGATGCAGTGCTGCTGGACCATGAATCCTGCTTTGAGAGCAAGGTTAGAGGGGAGCCTCTTGACCCAGATAGCTCAGTTGGTAAAGCATTGACCTGCAATGCAGGAGACCCCCATTCGATTCCTGGGTCAGGAAGATCCCCTGGAGAAGGGAAAGGCTACCCACTCTAGTATTCTGGCCTGAAGAATTCCATGGACTGTATAGTCCATGGGGTTGCAAAGAGTTGGACACGACTGAGCGACTTTCACTTCACTTCACTTTTTGACCTGGAAGAGAGCTTCAATGATCGCTCCCCCCAGCCCTGCTGGTCAGCCAGCTCCACTCAGAACCTTACATTTTCCCAAGCCCACACACACATGTGTTGCTGGGCTCTCAGACCAGTGAGACGGATCAGCAAAGAGGAGACACTGCTTCTCACTTTATAGATTAGGAAATGAGCACCCAGCAGGGCAGCAAGATCCCCTGGGAGGGGCTGGGTCGCCTGAGCCAGGGCCGGCTCATCCTGGATCCCTCCGGATCACCTAGAGAGTGATCACCCGCCATCAGCTAGTGCCTAGCCCTTGGCAGAAATGGTCCTGCTTGCGATGCAAGGGGGACTGCTAAGGAGAGAGGGGCTTTAAGGACACTTGCTGGTCAAACAGAACACAGACCCAGCCCTCCCCACCCCAGAATCCCTTATTGTCTTTCTCTTAATGACTCCCACATTTAGGTTTTGTCCACAAAACTACATTTATTATACTTTATTTCCCCATTGTTCCTTCATCAGTGGCTTCTTTAGCTATCAGCCAGAACTTCTGATGAAGAAACGACCACTTTCCATCCTAATCTGATTCTAACCAAAAGCAAAGACTCCAGTGGAGCATTCCCCAGGCTGAGAGAATAGTCATTCTGTGCTAAAAAGAGTTCTGTAGTCAAATACGGGTGACTTGTTTTGAAGATCCTCTTTAGTTGATTCTTTTACACATTTTTGACCACAGCCTTTTCTGGGGAACACTCATAGGATCCAGAGAACCCTGAGGCAATGCCGAATCAGAGATTTCAGTTAGGTGGTTAGTAAATGTCCTGTCCAGTTTGGGGAAGTGTTGAAAATAGCTGAGGTATTACATTGATTTCTCCAAGGGCCTTTAGGTGTCAGGAGCCCCAGCATGGGAACTCTTTTTCCTTTTTTTTTCAATTGGAGTATAATTGCTTTACAATGCTGTGTTAGTTTCTGCCGTACAAGGAAGTGAGTCAGCTACACGGTTAAAAACTGGAAAGCTGCATGTGAAAGAATGAAATTAGAATACCACCTAACATCATACACAAAAATAAACTGAATGGATTAAAGATCTAAAGGCAAGACCAGATACTACAAACAGAATACTGTTTGACATAAATCACGGTACTGTTCTTTTTGGATTTGTCTCCTAGAGTAATGGAAATGAAAGTAAAAATAAATGGGACCCAGTTTAGGAACTCTTGATGGAGAGGTGATGAACAGAGAGTGCTGGTGCAGGGGTAGGCTACTTGAGCTTCGGTGGCAGGGGAAGACTTTTCTCAGGAGGTAAGGCCTGCACTCGACCTGAATGACAAGAAACAAGCTGGGAAGACCCAGAGGGATCGGGTGGAGAGGGAGGTGGGANGCAGCTGCTTTGGCCAGGGGGCAGCAATGCCTCCCACAGCTGCTACACAGCCTATTCCGTTCCTCCCCATCTCCCGGGGGCCGGGAAGGGGACCCCTCACCCCCTCACCCGTCATTCTCTCACGGCCCAGTGGCCCAGCCCCTCACACCTCTCAGTCCACAGAATTGTGACTGTCCTTCCTGATGTATTTTTTTTTCTTCTTGGCTTAAAGGGTGTGTTGTTAACTCTTTTTACACTTATTTATTATCATTCTCATTTCTCTGGAAGCCACAACTGGTGTCAGGGCTTGGTTTGTGTTTAGAATCTCCCCAGCTTCATGGACTAGAGAGAAGGTAAGGCTGTTTCCCTGGTAACCCAGGAGCTCCCAGCTGGAAGTGAGGGAACCCATCTATGTCTGCTGCCTCCAGCTCCAGGAGGAGACAACCAACCTCTCACAGGATGCATTTGCAACTTCAACCCTTTCTGATCGAACAAGCCTGTGAGAAAAGGATTTTGGAGAAACAATCAGTGACTATACCTTCTCCCCTTTAACAGAGGTCGCACACAGGTTACATTCAAGCCATTGTGATCTGAAGTGTTTAAAGATTTAATTGCCAACCGTATTAGTTTCCTAGAACTGCCATAGCCACATTGTCTGGCTTAGAACAACAGAATTTATTGTTTCACTGGTCTGGAGGTCATTAAGTCTGAAACCATGCTGTCACCATCCCTCTAAAGGCCATAGGGAAGGAGCTGTGTTCCTTGGCTTGTACATACATTACTACAATCCTGAGTTTATCATCACATCACCTGTTCTCTATACACGTCTGCTTTTGTGTCCAAACTTCTCCTTTGTATAAGCACACCAGTCATACTGGATTAGAGTCCACCCTACTGACCTCATTTAAATTGATTACCTCTGAGAAGACCCTGTTATCAAATAAGATCACCTTCTGAAGTACTGGGGTTAGGACCTTAAACTAACCTTTTTTTGGTGGGGGTTGGAGGGGGAGGAACAGCAACAAGTTAAAACTAGTGGCCATCCTCTCTAGAAGTGCCACAGCCCTCACCACTTCATGTCTGTTCCATGTGGAGGCCAAGGGTCACCACACTTAGAATCTCTCTCTTACAGCTGAAGGACCATGGTGGGGGCAAGAAGCTTCACTGGCCTTAGTCATACAGCTGGTATTGAAACTGATGGTGCCACGGATGGAAGGAAACAGAATCTGACTCAACACCTTAGGGATGACTGCAGAATGGCAACCCACTCCAGTGTTCTTGCCTGGAGAATCCCAGGGATGGAGGAGCCTGGTAGGCTGCCATCTATGGGGTTGCACAGAGTCGGACATGACTGAAGCGACTTAGCAGCAGCAGCAGATCAGGAACACCTGTTTTTGAGACTTTACATGAATGAGAAACTCATGAGGTGCCTCTCTTCTTGTTTGCTCAGATCTCCAGTCTCCTTTTCTCCTTAACCATCAACACTAGGTGCTGCCACAAATCATTGGCAAGCTTTGGGATTACCCTGTGCGCTGTTTCTGTTACATCAGGCTGTGTCTATAAGCCTCAGTTTCCTGCTCTGTAAGATGCATCAAGAACCAAGCTGGGATGGTCTAGATCAGATGGTCTAGATCAGGAGGTGTTCTCAGGAGGTGGTACTGGAGTCAGGAACACAAGTGGAGGGCAGAAGCATGGCAGGCCTCATGGGAAGGAAGGTTTTCTACTTAAAGTTTGAAAATTGTTGGAAAGATCAGTCCCCACCCCTGACCCTGGCCCCCCATATAACATCACTGTAGGAACTGTCTTGTTCAGTCGCTAAGTCATGACTCTTTGCGATCCCGTGAATGTAGCACGCCAGGTTTCCCTGTCTTTCACTATCTCCTGGAGTTTGCACGAATTTGACTATTGAATCGGTGATGCCATTCAACCATCTCATCCTCTGTCACCCTCTTATCCTCCTGCCCTCAATCTTTCCCAGCATCAGGGTCTTTACCAATGAGTTGGCTCTGTGCATCATGTGGCCAAAGTATTGAAGCTTCAGCATCAGTCCTTCCAGTGAATATTCAGGGTTGATTTCCTTTAAGACTGACTGGTTTGATCTCCCTG